TGCTACGAATTACTTGCTTCTACATCCAGGATAACGTTTATCTGGGGGTACAGGCTTGAACCCTGGTCTCTGACCTTTTACAAATGAAGAATTACACCAAGAGAAAATACAAAACAAGAGCAAAGGAGATTACACAAAATTGGCAAGTTTGCTCAGGTCTAGGCTGAACCAAGCTGGATCTACACTGCTATATAATGCAGTTTGAATCTGCATTATATGGCAGCATAGACCCAGCCTTAGACATTATATGTTCAATCATTCATCTGCTTTGCATTTTAAAAGGAAATTAGCTAGATTTTACAATGAATTACAGCTGAGAGGAGCTGCACCTGCCATCTGCTGCCCAACTTATTCCTGGTACAATGCTTCATGCTTCATGCACTTCTCCCTAATCATGTTGTGAAATAGTGAATCCAGGTTTTACTCTCAACTGTAAAGGATGCCAATCTTGTTTTAGGGATTAGGATTTTGCATCTTGGACACCTCATTTAAAGCTCAAACTGGGAACAGATATATTTCCTGACCAGCATGGGGCCACCAGCCATTATTGCTCACTTTTGGTAACAGTGCCGAACTGGGGTCAAAGGGAGAAGCTGTAAGTGACATAGTGTATGGAAAAAGCTATGCTATTGTATACTTTATTTTAAAAGCTGGACACACTCAGTTGTTAGATATTATCCCAGATGGCATGCAACATAAGCCAAACAGAAAAGGATCTTTGATGGAGCTGAGATACCCAGTCTACTTCCAATGTACTTTTTTCCAAACCATAAGCAATGATATACCGTCTTATCTGGTCCATGTACCTACAGGCCTTTCTCTGGTTTAACTCATGGTCCAAGAAGGGCCACTTGTCATCCCATCACTCCAGGATGAGGTGCCTTGCCTGATCACCTCAAAGGCAACTAGCAGCCTTTTTATTAATTGCAATAATGGCAAAGGAATGGTTCCAGTCACTTGATCTTTCTGGTTACTTCCCCCTACAACATTTCCAGTTCCATGTGGCCACCAAACACTTAACCAACAAATGTGGTTCTAATCATTAATATACAATATCTACTTTCACCCTGAATTCTAAACTGGATTGCCAGTTCAGGATCGTCCCAGGCCCTATGGTTTCTGAGTCTAAACCTAAAACCTACAGATACTGTAGATGCTGCTGATGTTCTAAAGCATTATGCATTAAGATGTTCACAGCCTGCCATTCACACACACATTTTCCTGTTTGGATATTAAGACAGAAATCTTAGCTAAGGGRTGTTTCCATATCAATGTGACATGAGAAGGCAAATTCTTCTCACTTGAGGATATGTGAAAAGGAACAGCTATAATCCATCACATGTGGGGGGGGGGGTCCCTTACTGTGCTGGGCCTCCTCTTTAGCCACAGATCCAGATGTATCCCATCAGATGATGCAGGCCATGCTCCTGCTTCATCAGCAGGATAAGTCTTGAGGAAGCATTGAAAGAAGCTTCCTCACCAGCACTGTGAGTCTCCCATCTTTTGGTTATCTCCAATGGAGTTATGTGTGTTTATTTACATTTTCCCATCTGATGTGGAAGCGCCAACACACCAACATTCCTTGACTAGATTCTGCCACCCTTCCCCCATGTGATAGGGGAAGGAGGGAGGGCACGTGACTCACAGTGAGTTGCCACATGTGCCTTTTGTTTCACCGGTGATTGCTGGTGAAACGGGTGTGTGTGTGTGTGTGTGTGTGTGTGTGTGTGTGTCATCAATGTGATGAGGTCCTTCATCTTGGCTTACTTACTTCCAGCTTCTGAATGAAAACAGAGTGGAGACCGACTACCACAATGACTATTAACAGAAGTTGCATTAATAAATTATGTTCAGTCCCAGATAGTGTAGAAAAGTGAGCTGGAAATTTGCACATAGCCCATTTCTGAGCAGAGAACCCACTAAAACTGAAGAGTTTGTACTCCTGTTTCTCAACTGGAGATAACCTATAAAACCCTGAGATCTGGCAACTCTAGTTACAACCAGCTCATGAACGATACGGGAGATAATATACTTATTCCTTTATTTCCAGACAGTCAGCATATTCATCAAGTATTGCTATTCTTGGATGCTATATATTTAACTCTATCATGAATATATACTTACTTCATAATTGTTAACTTCAAATGCAAAACACTAAAGAAGCTATAACGTTTTCATTCTGAGCCTAAAACTAAGAGGTTTAGAAATCTTATTGAAAACGGATGAATTACAGTTCATTTTTACTTGCCATCTGGTTTCTGAGCTTTCGGCCCATATTGCTATCATGTTTCTCCAGTCTTATCTCTGAAACCATAAGGATTAAAAGAGAAAAAGAAATCTGAGATACTCGGGCTTCTGTGAGAAACACTGTAGTTCATTTCCTGCTGTTGATAGCAATTCTTATATACTTTTTACAAATATGGAACAATGGGGGAGGGGGCGTTGCAGGAGGATTATCTACTTTTAAAGAAATTTTAGTTCCTAACACTGTACAGAATATCCATAGCCTAAGAGTGCCTAAACCTGGCAAAAACCTCAGAGAAAGGGCCAAACAGTATGCAAGTTTGGTGGAATCAGTGCCATAATTGGCTTTTTGCCTCATAGGGAGACCTGCAAAGACAGAATGACTGGGCAAAGTCAAAGTCAACGTTTGCTCAGTCTATGCAATTTATAAAATCTGGAGGAATCCATTTTGTGTTGTTATTGACATCTGACTTCAAGGCAACCTTAAGGTGAACCTATTGCAGGGATTTCTTGGCAAGATTTGTTCAGAGAAGGTTTGCCTTTGCCTTTTTCTGAGGCTGAAAGAGTGATTTACCCAAGGTCACTCAGTGGGTTTCTATAACCAAGTGGGAATTCAAACTCCCAAATCACAGTCTAATGCTCAAAACACTACATCATGCTGGCTCTTTTCAAATTTTCTTAGAGGTATCAAAAATAGGTTAACGTTATTTATCTGCACAAAATATTTTCTGTCATATTTCTGTTTAACAAACAGTGTCATGGATTGCCTCATAAATGAGCAGAAAGTAGGCTATGGCCCTTTGGGAAACAACTGGTCTGTATGCAGCATCCATTTTATACCTGTTGAGGGCACATAACAAGAATAAGTTACACCTGGCAACTTGATTTATCCCTAAGAGACCCCAAGTAAACATCCTGCTTTGTAAATTGAGAGCTCCTGATAGAACACAAGATTTCTACCTTGAAGCGTGAGTAAATGCCAGAAGTCAGTCTACTCTTCATCGCCATAATTCAGTGGTTCTCAACCTTCCTAATGCTGTGACCCCTTAATACAGTTCCCCATGTTGTGGTGACCCCCAACCATAACATTATTTTTGTTGCTACTTCATAACTGTAATTTTGCTACTGTTATGCATAGAAATGTAAATATCTGATAGGCAGGAGGTATTTTTATTCACTGGATCAAATTTGACAGAAATACCCAATACACCCAAATTTGAATACTGGTGGGATTGGAGGAGAGGGGTTGATTTTGTCATTTGAGAGTTGTAGTTGTTGGGATTTATAGTTCACTTACAATTAAAGAGCATTATGAACTCCACTAACAATGGATTTGAACCAAACTTGGCACACAGAACTCCCATGAGCAACAGAAAATAATGAGCATTGGTAGGCATTGACCTTGAGTTTTGGAGTTGTAGTTCACTTACATCCACAGAGAGCTGTGGACTCACACAATGATAGATCTGGACCAAACTTGGCACAAATACTCAATATGTCCAAATGTGAACACTGGTGGGGTTTGGGGAAAATAGACTCTGACATTTGGGAGTTGTAGTTTCTGGGATTTATAGTTCATCTACAATCAAAGAGCATTCTGAACCCCACCAACAATAGAATTGAGCCAAACTTCCCAAACAGAGCCCCCATGACCAACAGAAAATACTGTGTTTTCTGATGGTCTTTGGCGACCCCTCTGACACCCCCTCACGACCCCCAGGTTGAGAAAATAAGAAAAAATGCTTTCTGTTTTCTTTAAATTCAGAGGCAACTGCTTAGAGGGCTTTCATACATTGGCATGTAAATGCAGCCCCCTTTTGGGTTGTGTATCTGTGTGTATGCACCCATATACATACAGCCATTACATCTGCAAGCTATGATTGTGCTGGGTATGCAAGCTGCTCTATCTTTCAACAGGCCCATGCATCCTGTCTGCGTTAGAAAGAACAGTCAGTGTTGTTTCACCCTGCAAGAAGCATTCTGGTTATTATTATTACTTTCATATGATTTATGGCTAAAAATACAAGAGATGGTGCAAAGATCCGGTGCCAAATTCCCAGATGGCATATAACATGAGCCAAACTGTGAAAAATACGTAAGTATTGGTATATCTGTTTCATCAAGTGTTGGGAGGAGGGAGGGGTGAAGAGGGAATAAGCAGGAGAGTTCTAAAGACTAAGCAGGAAACCAGCCAGATAATTTTTTACAGTCGCAATTCTGAAGCAGCAGCAGTCAAGGGTGCAGCCACGCCATTGAAAAAGTAACCCAGGGTCAACCGTAATGACAGGCATTATTGAAATTAGGACAGGCAGATTGGAGCTTAAAGCACACAGCTTGGGGTCTTTTAGCAGAGGCTGAGTGGGAAGTTCCGCTATCCTTTCAGGTCAGACTTTCTTCCACCACTAGCCCTTCAACTGAAATGCAATTCAAACTCTAATCCTTCTCTTAGTAGTCAAAAAGATATGGAATGGCTGCAATATAAATACAGGTTTCCCACTTTTTAAATAAAAAAACAAAGGACTAGTTTGGGTTGATTAAAAGAAACACCAAACAATAACCAGGAATCTATTATCTTGCTTTCTAGGCAATCTGCAACAGAACACTAGCTAATATATTTTTGAAGATTCAAAGCTCATGTTTCTAAGCGTGCCAAAGCATTCCGATCCATCCCTGAAATGAGCAACAGCTGTAAATCTAAGCCTGGCAGAGCTGTAAACAACAACAGCAAAGTGGTTTTCTTATGTTTTTTTTTTTACCTTCTTGTGATTCTTGTAAACATTTCTGTGGGCAAATCCCTTTCCACAAAGCTTGCATTTATAGGGTTTATCTTCACTGTGTATAATTTTGTGTGCAGTCACTTGATCAAGTCGTTTGAAGGACTTATGGCAAACCTCGCAGGTGTAGGGGCGTTTTTCTGCAGAAAATGAGTGGGGAGGGGGGGACATTTAATCTCCTGTTTATACAGGGGTAGAAGATGAAAGGCAGAGACAGCCATCTCCTCGGAAAGATTTCTGGCAATGAAGTCAACCCAATTACAATTAAACCAATTAGAAAGACATCTAATGCCCTTTACATTACACAGTTAAGTTGCTTCATTAAAGTGTAAGCTATAGCGCATCTCGAGAAATTGGCACGTTCTTTGCAACAGTCATGGCAAAAACTAAGTTCTGATTAATTAGCTTAAATCAAAAGAGAATGACTTCAAAGAAGGAAAGCCTGTTCCAAGCTACAAATGTGAAAGAGGGCATGACAATGTAAAATGTTAAAACTTAATTAACAATATACATAGTACATTTGCTTTCATTAAATAAACGGTATGTATAAATTTACATGTTGCATCAGTTAGTTGAATCTAGCACTATTCTCATCCAAAATCTCAACTGCTAGCTAATTGCCTCTAATAAGCCAAACTTCATTTGTTTCTCTGCACTGACATGGAAACAACAGATAAAACCAACAGTGTTTACTATGTTGAAAAGATGGTAACATAAAACCATCTTTTTAAATAACCTGGATGCAATTTGTTCCCAGTTACTAAATGAACGCTGTTAAAATATCAGTGTGTCATGAAGAGAAATATGTGGTAGAGCCTGATCAGAAAATGTAGTAACTCTTGCAACAACTATAAAGTTTTTTCTTTGCCACATACATCAAGATCTAAGCAGAATATCGTAAACTCTTTGCATGGGATAGTCATTTGATGTTTCTGCCACCTCTAGTGAAACATGTTACATTCTTGAAATGATGAAACCTCTTGTCAATATAAAGAGACAATCAGATAATTTAAGTACCATCCACTTAATATCTATACTGCCAGATTCAGTCCATAAATATTGCTATTTCTACAAGTCATCTGCACATCACTTACATTATCTTTTATTATGCAAAAACCTTTTTGGATTTATTTGATCATGTTTCAATCAAAAAGCTCTTGTTGGAAGGAAATCTCAAAAGTATACAAAGTGTGATGGGGCTGTAGATAAAGAAGGAGGGGGCTGTGTATGAAACTTTGGGCTTCCAAGAAGGTAATGTACAAATGATTAAATGTTAGGTATTAGGCTTATACATGGAGACTGAATCCCACTGTAGACTGAAAGATATATTACTTTAAGCAGCTTTCAACTGCAAGCACTCTAACATGGAAGTATGCATTACAGGGAATAGTTGAAGACTGCAATGCCAATATTTCAATCATCTTAAATCCAAGAAAACTAAGCTAACTAGTTTGTCTAAACAACTACACAATAGCTTCATAAAGCCCTATTTTTGAGGGCAATCCAAACTCACTAAGGTGGCTGAAATTCAGCGGAACCAACACCAGCACATCTGAAGCTTTGTTGGATCTAAAACCCTCCCAACCTAGGAATGTGGGAAATTACTTAGGATTACGCTTACCTAACGGCAAGCTACATAGTGGCTTTGTCCCTCAAAGGGAGGAAGCTTGGAGGATCTGGTCTGATCCTTCCTTCTTCTGCCCTTCTCCACCTCTTTCCATTCTTCTGCCAGAGGACCTGATACCAGCTTATCTCTGAATCACCAGCAGTTATAGTTTATACCAGCACAGACACCTCAGTCAAAAAAAAGGACTGCTGCCCATCCCTGGCCTCCTACAGACAGCACATCTTTGATTTGAGATTGCACTACTAGTTGTTTTAATTAGTCCCAAGCATCATATTAAAAACATGTATAATATTTTAAGACAGTCATTAATCCAAGCAATAGGTGATGTTTGAATTTAATGATGGGATGGGGGGGGAGATGTGGTTGTTCCTTTTTCACTTACCTGAGTGTGTTATCATATGACGTTTTAGCTGGTTAGCTGAAATAAATTTCTTGTCACATTCCTGACATTCAAAGATCTCATGAACCTGCAATATGGTATTAAGGATAATTAAGTATGTGACTTACACAAGAACTCACATCTTAAGCTATAAAAGAATACTTCCATAGATTAATTGTTTCTTAGCTCAGAGTTATGCTAATATACTTCCTTCCAGAATTGTCCTTTCCTTAACAGCCACATATCTCTAGAATTAAAAGGTCATGCTAGTGACCAGAAAATACTAATATCCACAATACACAGCAACAACTGCATTTGCAGAAATGGAACTCCCCTGGAATATATAGTGGCCACCAGGAAAGTATTCTCTCAGAATAATAAATCTATTCTACATTAAAATCATATGAAAAACAGAGCCTTTATTCTGGGAAAATGTTTCTTTTGGAAGATCAAATTATGTGCTATGCATATGAAGCTTAAAAATACATCTGAAAAGAAAAATTGATTGCTTATCTGGAGCGTTGGTTCTTTGGGTGGTCAAATCCAGTGCCTGCACTTAGCCTTTCTTTTATTATTGTTATTATTATTATTATTATTATTATTATTATTATTAAACTTTATTTGTACCCCGCTAGCATCTCCCGAAGGACTCGATGCGGCTTACAAAGGCCAAGGCCTCAACACACAATATAACAATACAAAACCTAAGGCAAATTAAAAACAATTAAAGCAATATAAACAACAAGCAATAAACAATACACTAAGACACAATAAAACTGGGCCGGGCCAGAGTAATGGGTACAGGATTAAAAGTGCTGATGTGACAGGTGGTATATAAGGCTTATAGGGCAAGTGCAGTGTGCAGAGTGCAGCAATCGTTGTTCTAATAAAGTGCTTATGGGACTTGGTATTGGAGATTTCCTATTCTGGGAAGGCACATCGGAACAGCCAGGTCTTCAAGTTCTTTTTAAAGACTGCCAGTGTAGGGGCCTGTCTAAGATCTTTGGAGAAGGTGTTCCAGAGTCGGGGGCCACCACAAAAAAGGCCCTGTCTCATGTCCCCACCAAACGTGCTTGCGACGCAGGCAAGATCACGAGCAGGGCCTCTCCAGATGACCAAAGTGAACGTGTGGGTTCGTAGACGGAGATGCGGTCACGCAGGTAGGATGGTCCCAAACCGTTCAGGGCTTTGTAGGTAAGCACCTGCACCTTAAATTGGGCTCGGAAAATAAACGGCAGCCAGTGGAGCTCCTTGAACAGGAGGGTTGACCTCTCTCTGTAAGGGGCCCCAGTTAACATCCTGGCCGCTGCCCGTTGGACCAGTTGGAACTTTCTAGAGCAAGGCTAGCAATTTGTTAAGTCCCATTTCTCTACATGAATGTTGATAGGGAATGAGTTCTACTTTCTCAATCAATTCATAGTGCAGCAATTTATATGAAAAAATATCACTCATGATGAGTGGGGTTGGTGACGCAATATACAAGAACTGATGTGGTCCTTGTAGATGAGCACTATACTGGTGCTCATCTATAAGGACCTATTCCTTCAACAGAAATGATGATATGTTAGTAATAGTGGAAGAGGCAAAAGATGTCCACCAAATAAATACATGGACATTGAGTTGTTATAATATTAAAGAGTGGTGAGGAGATCTTATATAATATCCAGTTAGTCAGTGCGGATGAAGCTGTTTACTTCTTAGAATGTGCTAGTCTTGAGAACAATGCTTTACATGGCAGAAGACAAACCAGTTTCGCCTCAGAAAAGAGAATGGAAGCCCAAGAAAATGGCTTTCTGGATGAACGGCCCAAGGATGAAACAGGAGAGCTTGTATCCAAATGATAGGCTGGCTTAAGGTGAAGCCACAGAGGATTACTAATTGTTCAGCAACACGTGCTGAACACAACACTCACAAAATCATATCCGAGTTCTAGTAAATACCAAAATGAGGTTCTGCATAGCCACAGAACTCATATGTAAGTGTTCCAGAAAGAAGAACATAAATATATGCATCAATTAATCCTGTTTTTAACTACTTCTAAAAACAAAACTTATTTTTTTAATTTGTAAACTACTCTGAGCAGCAAGTTCTTTATTTTAAATCTTTTAAAGTCTGTAGTACACCTTCCTATGCTAACACTGTAAAAAATTATGGAGCCCTTCGCATTAGCAAATATTAGTTTCTAGATCTTGTAGCTAAGGATAACACGCTGATTGACATTGCTTCTAATTACCCATTAAACCATGTTAGTAAGAGTGTAGCTGATGGTCCTTTGTTATCATCCCTTGTCACGTAGTTTTATGAATACTGAAGTGAATAGCTGGGAGTAGGTCTACAACTGTCAGATATGTTCATCCCACACTCTAAAGTAATATCTATTTTGGGGTTTGTATAATAAAACCAAAAGTTCTAGAGGTATAAAAGAGATAAGATTTCAGAAGTAGAGCAATTATAACCCCCAGGTTCAAAAAGGACTAGAGAAATATTCTGCATATGAACTATGCAGAAAGGGACAGGGTTTGGGTTCACCAACTATCAGATTGGATATCCTATTGATCACACTTGAGAAAATTAGTCTGTTGTGCTGAACAATTCTTTCATATGAGAAATTATTTAGATTTGTTCTGAACCGAGATATGCATGATCTCTCCGAAGTGAAACATGCAATGCTGCTTTATTCAAGGTCAGAGTATGAGTTATAGTCCTTTTACCAAATCTGTCTGCCCATAAGAACCTTCCTTTTGTATTATTCTTTACAGAATAATGCCATCTTATTTCTCTACTTCATCACTCTATATTATTCTAATTCTTTTAGAATACTTCAAGAACCAAAATGCCAATTAATCTGAATCTATTGGGCCTACCAAAGGTTTGTGTAGCCTGAAATGAACATGCTTTTTCACTTTTGAAGAATGACTATTCCAGACACTTTTATTTGCATTATTATAGAGCAGCAGGAGAGCTAGCAAGAGATTTTAAGTCCTGAAAATGTGTGCTCTCTGTCTGAAGGACACATTCCAGAAAAGACAGTTTGCTAGGGAAGCAAGGTCAGAAACACAACTGAGCTCAGAGGAAGCAAATGAAAGTCCAGATAGATAAACTAAGGAGCAGTTAGATAGGAGATTTACGTTTCATCAACACAGAACTTCTTGGGAGAGTGTACAAAGGTCAAGAAGCCTATTAGTCAAAAAGTCCTTATCGGTTTCCTAGGGGAGAAGGAAGGATTTTCTGTCTATATTAGCTAGACCAACAGACTGTTTTGCCAGTCGAAGCAACGTTGATGTTTGAGTATAACTTCTGTCAAATCAAGGGATTTCTATTTCCATGTTTCCTTTTTGTTCATATACCATGTTCCAAATTTTTGAGGACTGTCCCTGAATCTCATGTTTTGGATTTATTCTGCTTTGTATTCCTGGTTTTTTATACTCCTCATATACTTTGATTTCTGTGGATTTATCCAGATATTCTGACTTTGGTTTTTTATACTATTTTTCTGAATTGCTTTTTATATGTTCTTCAATAAACTGCTTTGCTATTTTGCCTTGGATTGGAGTGTGTGTTAAGTACAGAGGTGATTCCCAGCCTTGGAGTGGAACGGTTTTTAATGGAACTTAAATCACACAATGCATTGAACCACACTTTTTTTTTCATGGACAACAGTTGCAAGTTCTTGCGTCATCAAAAGGAATCTTCTGGATTTTTAGTTTACCCAGTTATATCAAATAAAGAGTTTTGAAAGATATATTAACTCCTCACACAGTATCCTTATAAAATTTCATACTAAACAGAAAACGCACTGTTGCTTTTCATTTTTAAAACATATATGTTTACAAACCTCAAGACTTCAAGACTGACTTCAAAAAAGTGTGGGCAATGTGTAACAAAATAGAAAATATGAGATTTTCAAAATCATAGCTGCAGCATTATAGATACTTTTTTCTTTTGTGTGGAACTTGTATGCAGGTGCATAGTATGCATAATTAACTAAGGTCAAAGTAATATGTTTTTCTATCCTCAAAATCCTAATTATAAATAAACAAAGGCAAACATTTTAAAATTAAAAGTATAGACTGCTTTGACTGTTCTCTTGGTTGTTAATAGGACAAATCATAAAAAATAGTTTAGCTTGCTGTCAGATTGCCCTTGTGGAATATTTAAAATATTGAATTGAAGCTATATTGATAACTTAGTTGGTTGTAGTGAAAAGCAGAAATTGAACAGAAACACTGGAAAGCAGAAATAAAAATAAATTAGTAAAGGTAGAAACAAACTACTGTTCCCAGATAAGGTTTTAATTTTGATTTGTTGCTGTTATGAAAAATATACATTCAGCCTCCAAGCTGACTACTCTCTTTGTCAGAATGAAAAATAAATGTATCCAATACTTTGCATCTCAGCAGCTCTCCAGTAATGGTACTCTCTTGTCTTATACCTTTGCAAAGTCATAGCCTGCTGTGGGTCAGCCTTCATTTTACTGACCTTTCGATGCTCTTGAAGATTTGTTGCTGAAGAACACCTCTTATTACACACAGAGCACATCAGCCTCTTCCTAGAATTTCCTAAAACAGAAACAAAAAATACCACCAACTGCTTTAATAAAGAAGTACAAAGAGAAAGGCCAAATGTTTTTACTGCCTGTGCCATTTTTCACAGACCATTTGATAGATACAAGAATTTTTACACTTTTTCCCACCTCTAATGTATTATGTTACAACACAGCTCTCTGTGGGCACTTTATGGAGGATTCTGCCTGTGGAATGTCAAGTAAGACAAGTTTTTTTGTTTTGTTTTCTGCTTAAAATTATAAACAATACAATTTATCCAGTATCACTTATTAAAATGCCCACATAGGTAGATCTATTTTGGAACATCTATTTAGTTCTCTATTCTGTTGTTGATATTATGAGAAGTCATGTTGACTCCAACTTATGATGACGCTGTTACATGAGGGTTTTTTTAAGGCAAACTTTACTCAAAGGAGGTGTGCTGAGAGAGTGTGTCATGCCCAAGATCATATTATGATTTTCCATGGTCGAGTCCTGTTCATCCTGGTCCAACCCTGGTATATAATTACTGTATATTAATTACTTTTTTTTTCAGAATTCCATAGAATGTATTAATAAAGTTGTAACTAAGATTAAATCCACAGCTCAGGGAAAAAGAAGCTGATTGAAGAGATAATTCTTGGCCACTCCCTCCCATACCTTATACAGGATTGACAGACTGTCAAAATGCAAATTTAAACAATACAAAATTGTCACTAGAATATTTTTACTGGTTTTGAATGAAAGGTAGGTTTTTATTATATAAGCAAATATGAGTTGGTAGAGTCCATAAGGGACATCTTTTGTTTTCTACCACATATAAGTGGTGATGTATTACTCCTGGAGACTTCCAGGAAAGCCAGAAAAAAAGGGGGGCAGATATTATGGAAGCCATAAAACAGTCTCATGTAGGCCATCTGTTCAACCCTACTATTGTAGGCTACAGTTTTAGTCTAGGAATGGATAAACTCTGTGGGTCCAGGGGTCATTTTCCCCTCTTCTGGCACAGGAAACAAATGCACTAGATGTCAGTCCATTGTACTGCTTAGACCACAGTTTCCTGAAAAGTGGCCTTACTCCACATGACTTGTTCAAGTAAAATATTATCTCGGGGACCCTTCTCTGTGTTACTTATCTTCATCTGAAATACTAGCTAAGAACAGTAGCATATCATCCCAGAACTGTTTTACTATTTCAGGTGCTGGTAATCTGTTTGATTGCTGTTTTTTATACTGTGTTATGCTGTTGTTTATTTTATTTTATGTTTATTTTGTTGTTGTTTTATGAATTTTAATGTGTTATATTTTGCTCAGGCTTGTCCCCATGTAAGCCACCCGAGTCGCTTGTTGTTGTTGTTGTTGTTGTTGTTATTATTATTATTATTTTACTTTATACAAGCTTACCTACTGAGAAGGCTGATGTCATTTTGGTGACAGTAGAAAAGTGTGCTGAATAGCTATAGTGGGAGAGATTGTAAAGCATGTCTACAGAATACTGGACTGGACATAAATTGGCTGAGAATGATGGGGCTAGTCCAATGCAACTGGAAGGTAATATTGTGGTCTGACAAAATGTGTTATCTAATAAATCCCAGTTTCAACATTTGGCTTACCACTATGAACATTTTCCTTGTGCTTTTTCAAGGCATCTTTACTCTTGAACCTCTTCCCGCAGCTATCAGCTTTGCATACGAACCTGGCCTCACCACGGCATGCTTCCTTATGTTGCTCATAGCTGAGGTTAGATAGTCAAGAAGAGAGAAATGATATATCAAGAAACTGCTACCAAGCAGACAAAAAAAATCCCAGCCCCTCAACAGGCATTTGAGTGCACTTAACACATGCTGTGCAGCACACTTCTGGGGTTGCTTCATGCTTTTTAACTTACAGCAGGTAGAAATGAAAGCATTTCTTGCCTCGCACAGTTAGGGTTCATAAAACAACTATGAAACTTGAAAGCAAGAAAGCATGCAAAGGGAGCTCAGCAGCAGGATGAAAGCAGCCCGGTAATTAGGACAGGGAACCTCGATTCTGAGCTGAAGGCTGTGTTGCAAACAGAACATTGAAAACTCCTGGAACGTTCTCCTGGGTTGTTGTTTTCTAAGCACTGCAGAACACTATAAGGGAAAAAAAGAGAGAGAGAAAGGTTGGGGAGAGATCATACATTTCTATATCCATTTGATTTCAGGGATTAGCCTGCAAGTTCTACAAATATTGATGCATTCAAAGAGATTTGTTTGTAGTGGAGCTATATAAATCTACTGAGCTCTGAGTTCCTATTTATATATAAAAATGATGTATTTAACCAAGATACCGAAGACCATTCTGAAATTATCGGCGTCAGTGTTTCTGTGGGGGAAAACTAGTCATTTATTGCAGATTACACTGTAGATTGCAAATTAAAGGAGAAGACAAGCTGCTTTTTTGGAAATGCTCTCTGGCGCTGGCCTGCACAATTTTCAGAAGTCTGTTGTGGGTCCAATACATATTATATCATTTCATTTAAAACTGTTTTATCCCACATTTCAAAAGGATTCTTAGAGCTCCTAACAAAGTCGTAAAATTAAATACACAGTTGATACACAAGTTTTTCACCTGTTGAGTACCCTGAGGAAAAGCAAAATACTACCCAAATCTTTAAGTGAATGGCCACTTAGAAATATTTATTTATTTCCTTAAATAATAGTTATCCTACCCCTCATCTGAAAGGGACCTCCAAAATGGCTTACAGATTAATGAAAACAAGACAGTTCCTACCCTCAGGCTTCAATTCTATAAAGACATGACACAGAAGGGAAGAGGGGTGGAGAGGGGGGGAAAAGGAAAACCAGAAAACTTAGACCTCAATTCTTAATGGTATGTTTTTATAATAGCCAGCTGGGATAGAAATGAGCTGCTCGCAGTTCACATAAAAGGCATTAGCTGGAGTACATGAAAAGGAGAGGCCAGAATAAACACACCCAGTAATACTACCACAATGTTTTGATGTAATGATGTTCAGTAAGCCTGTTACGCCACCAAAAAGAAAAGTTCAGTGGCAATCGTTTAGGGGACTGTGCACTAAGATTAAATGTGTAGACACTATCATGAGAGTCTCTTCAATAAGGAAGCTCTCGCCCACTCTTGAAAATCCAAGAGTTTGTCAGGATCTGACGAAAGTTCTTGACAATGTAGAATAATTGCTAGAATAATTGTCAGAATGATATTAAAGTTTTTAAATGTCATTATAAATTCTCCCATCTCAGGAGAAGTCTATTGTACAAGATACATCTACATGGTGACAAGTAATACCCCTATTGGAGGTATTACTTGCTTTCTCAGTTTTATTGCTACTGCGAGGAATTTTGCCACTACAAGAGTCACCCTATGGCACTTGTCCTCTAAAAGATATCTAACAATCCTCTGCGGGGGATGGCTGGTTATGCAGGACAGGATTTGATATAAAAGTTGGCTACATTGCACTGTAGTAGCAGCACTGCAATAAAATGAGTTTGATTGTTTCTATTTCATTTCCTCCACAGGGGCATACTCTTTGGGAGTAAGGAATTCCAGACAGTCTGCCTCTTAGCAACTCTGAGGGAAATATGTTTAATCTCGCCTTTGTAAAGAGTCGACAATATTTAGTCACTGTAAGGCTTTTTAGGTATTCACATTTCTTAAATGGCTCCTTATATGGTAAATTAAGGACTCTGGGAGAGCATGGTGAATTTGAGTAGGCTCTAAGCCCTCCCAGGGCAATGTCCTATAACCTTTGCTTCAGGGATTCTTGTGCCATTTTAAGTCCCAAATAGAGCAGAAGGGGTGCGGATAGTCCAATTGAGGCTGCTTTTTGTTCAGTCCTCCACACCAAAAGGGGTTTGGAGGTTTCGTAAGGGAGGTGATGTAGAAAACCTGCTCCCAGTTTGAATACCATTGTTTTTAACCATAGGTTCGTTTTCAGAGTCCAGGCCCTGGTAGTCAGTGGGCATTCACCCGTTTCTAGAAACAGAACCACATTAGGTACACAAGAAGGCACATTTAGAAGATCTCTTATAAACCTTGCTTGCACTCTATCTAGATTTGTTGGTTTTACTGATGGGTCTATGGACCATAATAAATATTGTTGTTGGGTTGTTGTGAGTTTTTTGGGCTGCACGGCCATGTTCTAGAAGCATTCTCTCCTGACATTTCACCTGCATTTATGGCAGGCATCCTCAGAGGTTGTGAGACCTCACAACCTCTGAGGATGCCTGCCACAGATGCAGGTCAAGCGTCAGGAGGGAATGTTTCTGGAACATGGCCATGCCGCCCAAAAAACTTCAAACAACCCAGTGATTCCAGCCATGAAAGCCTTCAACAATACATGGTTGTTGTGTTTTAAATGTCAGATGTGCTATGATGACACCATAAGATGTTCTATGTAAAGCAGCAGACTTACACTTGAGATAGGGTTACTTGGCAATGGTATAAGAGATTTCAATCAATAGTTTATAATGTTATAGACTTACTGCCTCTGCAAAGCTTGTTTCACTGGGAATTTCTTCCCACAGTTTCTGCATTTATATTCCTTTTCTTCACTAGGTTTTTGGTGCAATGTTTGAAGGTGTTCGGCTAAGATTTCCTGACTGGCAAAACTGGATTCACAGTTGGGACAGGCATGATCCTCTTTACAGCTAAGAGAATCTGCAAGAAAAAGTGATGAAGAAATCATTTCATACTGATCATGCAGCAATTCCAATCTCTGTATCATAATATTTATGAGGATTCTTGATAATGTAGGCTGCATACATTTTTTCTAATATTTTCAAGAAGAAAAATGTGTTTTATAATTCAACCTCTATCCGAAAATAGAGAAGGAATTCATTTGTGCTCATTTCTTTGTACTTGGATTACTTTTGCCCTTAGGAAGTGGAATTTGTCAGTGATTTCTAAATTCAGGGTCCAACACCAATCTCCCAATTTTTCTAAATTTACCCTGGATGAATTTACAAAGTCTAATGCCCTCATTTACAAGGGAAAGATTTCAAAACAAGAGTTCAGAATAGTATAGTCCAAATATTTGATGGATCAGATCCAGATTCAGTCATTCAGAGCTCATCATACAACTTCCAATCAAAGTACTGTATTCTGGGTCTAAATCAAGCGCAAGTAATTTCAACCATCAGTTTACTAATAACCTGAAAAATATGTAGAGAAATTCACTATTATTAGTGCAAATGACGAAAAAAGAGAACCACTGAAATCATTCCTTTCGTTCTGTAGTCTATATAGAAAGTCTTTGATTTAATTAAATTAAGAGTGCATCTACATTGTAGAATTAATGCCATTTGACACCACTTTAACTGCCATGGCTCAATACTATGGAATTGTGGAATTTGAAGTTTTATGAGGTTTTTAGCCTTCATTGACAAAGACTGATGACACCTTACCAAATAACATCCCCCAGGATTCCACAGTACTAAGCCATGGGAGTCAAAGTGGTGTCATACTGTACTAATTTTACAGCGTAGATGCACTCTAAGGCAGTATAGATCTCCTGATGCTTAATTTATCCTTAAGTTAAGAAAGTATTACTGTGTGTCTTTAAATAGCAGTGGATGCTTCCCATTCTCCATCATTATACACATACCTTTTTCACTAGTTTGCTGTAAGTCCTTATGGCTGCTATTACTATTGTTATTGCTGTCATCTTCCTCTTGGTGAATAATGACTTCCTCCTCCTCTTCTTTTACCTCTTCCATGTCACTGTCAAGGTAACCAATCAATAGTTCTGTATCTGTTTCAATATCTTCAACAGCTAAATAGAAAATGTTTTCTCCTTCCTGTTTGAGACAGAAAAAGATGGGATGACCCCTTTAGAAAGATATACAACTAGAGCTATTTTGCAAGTTTTCAAGTGGAAACATAAATAACATATTGCTCTAAATTTCCAGAGGGGCAGCGATGTCAATCTGTTTTAGAAAAAGAAACAGAGAACCTTGTGGCATCATGAAAGTTTATGCCATAACACATTTGTTAGCCATTAAAGCGCACTTTGTTGTTTTTATGTTGCTCAAATACTGCTGCCAGAACAGACTTTTTTATCAGACACAAATGGAGTCTGAATACACTGGAAATAATTTACATGTGTTTATGCCACATTGTAGAGACTGGAAAAGTTACATTTTATTATAATTCCCAGAAATGGGCTCCTTTGCAATCCTTGAAGTTGAAATCAAAAAAGAAAATTTTCCATTGTGTTATACTGAGTTTTTGTATCTTTACTGAAATTACTGCTTCTGAACCTTTTTAAAGAACTAATTTGCATGGTCCCACTTTCGGGGATTAAGTCAATATTCACATAAAACATACATACTTAGTAAAGGATCATAATACAATCAGACAAATGGTTCTGATACTACCCAAAGAAAGAAAAGGGAGACTGCATTTACTTAGCAAAAATTGCCAAGTGCTGTCACAAATCATAATACATATCTGATTAAAGTCCAGCGAAGTTAATTGAACCTTGCTTACAGTGTACATATCCATATATTTTGTGAGATAGGATAAGATAAAAATATTTAATTTTCAATATGCTAGGATTCACTGAAACTGCCATCAGGAGATATCACACTTCTAAAGCTTAGTTAGGCCTGTAATGGATTAAAATGATTTATTTATGAAATGAAAAAAAAAACTATTTAATTTGATAAACGTGACGAAAGCAGGCATGTTCAAGGACCAGATGCATATTTGGTCTTAGATCAATGATGGAATGGGAGAAGAAAATTAATTACATATTTTCTTCAAGATGTGGCTTTCACAGTAGAATCCTGATAGCTATCATAATACCATGCCTTCATCAAAGACTTGCTTTTTCCTCCTAATGGCACTGTTGTATATTCCAAGGAATTTAATTTACCACAATATGAATTCAAGATAAATCAAGTTATAAGGTACTGACTTTTCTTCTGATGCAAATCTACTTTTTCTTGTTTCAAGGCAACATGTGTCTTGGCACTGAGTTCTTTCAGTGTATCATTTTCATCCCACCTCTCACCCTATTTATTTAGAAACATGAGTGTCTATGCAGAGTGAACCTGTTATACCTTGATTAAACCTTGAGTTCCATGGTTATAATTTCATCAATAGCAATGTGTCTGATATTTGTCTGGATATTTGAAGAAGAATTCAAAAAAGAATGCAAATTTCTTAAACTCATTATGTCAAAAGAGGCATCTTCAGCAGGCTTAAGGACAGACCTTCTTCCCTTAAAACTCTCTTGGAGTCACATCGACTGACAAAAAAAAAAAAGAATAGAAGGTCTGGAAGTCTACTGTTGTGTGTACTTCCAGACACTTTCCCTCTTTTTTATGAGTCCATTGGGTTCCCAGAGGGCTTAAGGCAGTGATTCCCAACCTTTTTTTTTTTTGACCAGGGACCACTTTGACCAGGGAACACTCTCCAACATTTATACCAAAAGGGTTACAGATCAGTTTTTGGTCAACTTTAGATTTGGTTTAGCTATTTGGGGTGCATTGGATAGACTACATCAGCTCTAGTTTCTGATACAGAACATATGTCATCTAGTAATCGTCATCGGATCAACCACAGAAAACCATATTTAATAATCTATAGCAGATATGGTAGTATTATTTCATGGGTAGTCAGCCTTTCCCCTCCTGACATTCCTGTTGCCTTGGTACTATAAGTGAATTTCATGAGACCAGTCATTCTAGTTGCCACGTAGTTTCGAGCAACGGTTAGGCCGTGGACCACATTTTCGTTCTTGCACTGGCTGTCCATGAACCACAGGTTGGGAACCACTGGCTTAAAGGGAAGGTCTGTCCTTTAGCCTGCTGAAAATGCCTCTTCTGACATAGTGGGTTAAGGAAATCCGTGCTGCTCTTTCCCTAGAATTCTTCATCAAATACCCAGGCAAATAGCAAACATATTGCTCTTAATGAAATTATAACCATGGACCAGGAAGAAAATCCGTGGAACTCAAGGTCCTTGAGTCTGGGTTTTATTTAGAAAGAAAGACAAGACAATGCCCCAGAAAAATAATTAAATCTCTGTAATGTATTTAAAGTTTATCATGAAATCACAGAATCATAGGAAGATACCACAAAGCCTATCAAGCCCAACTCCATCTTCGAGTAAAGATGAACTTATTGTGCCCTTCCAGATGTTGTTGATAGGCAGCTCCTATGAGCTCTGAATGAAATATTCAGAAGTGAAAAAAGTGAGTTGCTATCTGATAAAATCTGAAATCACTCTGTCTGAACTGTATAAGAATGTTTGTTTTTAAAATTGTTATTATGCACTGTCTTTATGTTTAAATGCCCTATAATGATTCTTTTTGTTTATCAATGTATGTATTTTTATGGCATCGAATGGTGCCGACTGTGTATGCTGCTCTGAGTCGCCTTCGGGCTGATATGGGCGGGGTAGAAATAATGCAAATAAATAAATTAATAAACCCAAAGGACAGGAAGTCATCACAACAGGAGAGGTGGGAGAAGAGAAGGGCTTAGTCAAATACAACTATTGTGTAGTTATTAGGTAGTATTTTAATGGTCCACGTCTATAGATGTGAAGAGATTCATTTCATTGTTTTTATGGATATATAATAATAATAATAATAATAATAATAATAATAATAATAATAATATACACTGAAGTCACTCTGTTCACACCTTAGATTCTTATGTCATCTCTCTGCATCTGATTTCATCAAATGAATTCCTGTTTCAGTTTCCATTTCTGTATATATTCTATGCACATACCATTAACAGTCTTAAAGCTGCAGCCTTGAAACTGGAATATTACAGGAACAGTTCTGAACTATGGTATTCTTCCTCTAAGACAAATATGGGATTAGGACACTAATCTTGCATTACTCCCCAAACCCATGCCCCCATGTGAAAATATTTATATCTGGAATAGCTAATAGCTGCTAGTTTTAAGAGAAGGGCAGAAGTTTGCCAAAATTTAAACTTCACTATCCAGTGGTGACCCAATGCCAATATCTGGGCATTGTACACAAGGGTGTGGGAATGATATGGCTCAGACCAAACTACTGGCACTGATCACTGGCTATTGCCATCACCAATGCTAGGTAATACAACCAGACTCAATACAACCAGGTATCCCAATAAGACTGCTCAGAAGCCAATCTGCCAAGGGTGCCCTCAGAGTCACATCTGCAGTGAAGAATATAAGCCTTACGTCCACCCACAATGTATTTTGGTATGAACATTTCATTAATTTAACTGCTTAATGTATGTGCAGCCCAAGATATTAATGAGATTTTTCCCAATCTTGCAATTATCATTCATATATATCTAGAGTCCTCTGCTGTCTTTATGGATTACTGTTCTTCTTATGTACTGAATTCCTGCTTGTCTTTTAGGCTGAGAGATGGAACAGTTGTACCAGATTTATTATTGTGTGGATTAATTCTCAAATACTAATCTTCCATTGTTGGATTTGTTAAGTATGACTTTAAAACACTCTACTGCATCATAATAAATACCTCTTCTTCCATTAACCTTTGCAATTTCATTATTCCAGATCTTTGAGCTTATTCAGGCCACCAGAACGTCTTGTGGTTAACGAACAGAGCGTTTGAATACAGAAGGTTGGCTGTGAGTATGTTTATAGAGCTTCAACATTAACAACAAAGAAGCCTTTCCCACACATTAGTCACCAGAATACAACATTTTAAAAGTAATACAATATGCAATCAAATGCAGTTTTTATTCAGACAAATTATTCAAAGCATACATTACTCAGCAGGATCAACCAATGAAGATTTTATAAGTGCATTGATCAGTTGATTAACAGGGACAAAAATTGAGTGTTTGTTGCGGATGTTTAGACTCACAAAAACTTCCAAAGTCGACAGTTTCACAATAATTTTGATTAATCAAATTTCTACTTTATGGGTCATTCACAAAGTCTATCCCTAATGTATTAAATCATGAGCAGGACAGTAGAGTTTTATTATAACATTATACATTATTATATATTTATAAAAATGTAATAATAAAGTATATCGACTGTATCCTGACACTTTGAAACCATTTATAAAGAGTTTCTAAAGTTCCTATACCATATGTATAAGGGTATTTAGACTACCTAAAGACTGCTCAGCCAAAATAGCCTAAAGGTATCGGATCCTGCCTGATCTTGGACACTGATTCAGGTCACATTAATATATAGATGGGAGGACCACAAGCCAAAAGGTTTGTAAACTTTATTTTAGAGGAAGGAACTGGCAAAATTGTGTATTCTCTGCTTAAGTAAACCCAACAAAATTCATGGGATTGCATAAGTCAACAGCTGACTTGAAGGCAAATATACTCACAAAACTCCACTTATTAACAATAAAAACTTTCTGTTGATTAGTTCTGTAAATCAATCTGCTTGTAGTATAGATTATAAGTTCATATAACATTCAAGATGTAATTTTGGAACAATTCTAACATTTAGCATTCTACTCACTCTGTACCTGTAATTGTATACAGCTCAATTGGTAGGCATAACCTAATCAAAATTAGGTATTCTTAATTTATGTTGGGTGTGGTAGAGAGTTAACTAAGTGATTAAATCTCTTCCTGTCTGAACTTTTACAAATCACATCCTGAATTTTCTCCAAGTAAGAGTGCTTTCAGACCTATATTAAACGCGCTTTGAAGCGGGTTTAGGAAACTTGCTCCGAAGCAGGTTTAAGTCGCCACACTCCAGAGAAACAAATGTGTTTTCTCATGGGTTGTCCACATTGCAGCACAGTAACTACCACGCTGCAATGGGGACAATCCAACCCCGCCCCCCCCCCCAAAAAAAAAAGCTTTAAAATACAATAAAAACTTACCAGGCTTCCACTGAGTCTCATGGAAGCTTCCTGGCGTGTACCTATGTTGTGTCAGGAAGTGGGGAGGGGGGGGGGAGCGATTTCCTCACCACCACCTTCTAACACAACATTGGTACATACCAGGAAGTTTCCAGAGAGGTCTAATGGAAGTCCGGTAAGTTTTTATTTTATTTTAAAGCTTTTAGGGGGAAATTTGAGGAGAATGGTGGGATTCCTCTTTATTTCTCCCAAAGAAGCATATTGGGCTGTAGGGACAGACTACTGGATAATCTGAGACTACCTGGTCGTCTGCCCCACAGCGCTTATACTACATTGGACCTGGGCCTTTCAGGAAGGCCCAGATCTAATGGAGTATCTAAATAATTCATGACAAAGCAGAGTTTTCCTCCTTTGTCATAAATTATTCATCTTTTACCAGAGGTGTTGTTTGGATGCCTCCGGCAAAAGCACAAGGGCTCGTGCATTTTGGGCCCTGTCTGGATGAGCCTTAATTCACTTATACAGGTTATTTTCCTCATTTACACTCACAATCCTGCAAAGGAGATTAAGCTGAAAGACAGTGGATGACAACAGATTTGAACCTGTTCTGGGTATGACCTAAATAATAATAATAATAACAACAACAACAACAACAACAACAACAACAAACTTTATTTATATCCTTCTCCCTCTCCAAAAGGACTCAGGAGAGCTTACAACAAAATTAAATCATAACAGATACATAAGCAAAAGCAAAAAAGACAGGACATAATATATAACCAACAATCATAAGCAGGTTAAATTAGCATAACAGTATCACAATAAACAAATATTCTGAATGAATACATGAAAGCTTCAAAACACTTTTGGAATAAAATCTCTCTCTTACCACAATACTGTTACTGATCTATGCATGCAACATAATTCTGGTTTATTTATTGTGGTGGCTGACTTCTCTATTTCAAAGCCTTTCTGAAAAAATATGAAAGGCATTTTTAAAAGGCCAACAAAAAGAAATAAATTCAATCAAGTGTTAAAGGGACAGTTCTTCTGCTTCAGAAGAAGAAAGACCCATGTCCAAATGTGATTCTCATCTAACCTCATTCTTTCACATAAATACAAAATTCTCTCCCTCTACACACACACACACACACACACACACCTTTTCCTATATATATATGTAGGAAAAGATATCATTTCAACTGAACAACCTTTGCTAGAACCTAAATTTGTTTTCTACATGGGGAAAGATTAATTAAATCAATCCTTTGTATAACTTTGTGTATTCCGAAAGCTCATTCAATGATTCTGTGGTATTTTAGATATTTCAGAGTATTAGGAACAATGAACATTCACTAAACAAATAAAATGACTTGTTCATAATAATTTTCAGGCTACATTGGTTCCTGGTTTGATTATTTTTTTTTCTATGTATTTTCTGAAAAAGTAGACAAGACACTTGTTCTGTAATATTCTGGACATTCTTTACCATTTAACATGCTGGCTGAGACCTTTAGAAGTTGATCATCTGGAAGGCCACAGGTTTGCCACTCTTGTTTTGAGACATAGGCTGGATCTACACTGCCCTATATTTCAGGATATGATCCCAGATTATCTGCTTTGAATGGGATTATATGAGTCTGCACTGCCAGATAACCAGGGATAAAAAAATAATCTGGGATAAGATCCTGGGATACAGGATTGTGTAGATCCAGCCTTAAGCACAGGATGACTACAAACCATGTAAAGTTACCTGGGAGTAAGGCACATTTCAATCAACAGAGCTTCTAAACCAGTGGTTCTCAACCTGTGGGTCCCCAGATATTTTGGCCTTCAACTCCCAGAAATCCTAACAGCTGGTAAACTGGCTGGGACTTCTGGGAGTTGTAGATCAAAACACATGGGAGAGCCACTGTTATAAAACAGTCATAGGCAAGATGGAGTTGGAAAGATAACAGTTCAATGCAATTACCTGGATAGCAGCCAAATTCTTCTGCTCTTGAGATGGTGCTTCATGTACAAAACGCAACCAGTTCGAATGCCGTGGATTGCTGGCATCCAGGACATAAAGAACTTCACCTTTATTCCCACGTACCTGAAAATGCAGAAACCACTGAGCAAAATAAAACTGCAGAATGGAAAAAAAGATATTACTTGTACTATAAACATACTGGGTCTCTATCCTACCCTATTCTGGTTGGCAGGAGACATATTAGCCCATGTACTGGATTTTATTCCTGTTTTACCTATTTTTAAAGAAAACTTTAGTCCATCCTAACTTCCTCCTGTCTTATCGGTCATTCTGTTTATTTTCCACTGAACATATAGTATTGTGTTAGTTTAGCTTCTTTCTATCAAATTTCAAATAACCTTTCTGTACTTCATCCTAAAGATAAAACTATCATATAAACTAAGTGAGAATTTATTGATTGTTTACCTACACACCAGTCTTTTTTGCTCTTGTTTTTACACTATCAATGTTTTTTAAAAAAACAAACAAAAAAGCCCTGCATTAATCAGAGGAGGGTAACTGGAATGAATCCAAAGGCAATTTTCTATCTCTGGGATTATCCATGAGCTGCCAAACAAAGACTCGCCAAACTTTCAGACATAACCCAAAGTAAACCTTTGATGTAAAACAAGTGCAGGGAGACACTGCAATCCAAAAAGTGAGCTGTCACTCTGGGAGGCTTGCAGGTCAGCCTCCACTGTCTCCTCCTTCTGTTTCTTCTGGGGAGTCTGGAGGGTTTGAAGGCCTTAGGTAGAGCCTGGGCTGACTGCTTGTGGTCCACGGAATACCAGATGTAACCATAAGTTACTACAGTTAACAAATAATTTCTGTATTCCATAATTCCTTGAAAGTTATACTATTTCTTCTGTAGTATTGCCTGTGAGAATGCTATAGTGGTTTGATGCTTGAATGCTGGTCTATGATGCTAGGAGACCCATGAAACCCATTGGGTGACCTTGAACATGTTACCCAATGGGTTTCGTGGATCTCGACCAAAGGGGAAATCAAAACAATGTTCATTTTCTGATGAGTGTTGCTAAGAAAAAGCCAGGATCAGTTCATCACAGATCAGAGTTAGCTCAAAAACACAGAACAACATCAATATGGATGATAGCAGTTGGGGTTCATTATTATTGTGGGGACATAGGTTACTCCATACTAGTCCATACTATTTATTTATTTATTTATTTATTTATTTATTTATTGTGTCAGAAGCAAATTGGGAATACAGTTATAATGTATAGAAAAGCCACAAAGTTAAAAACTTGGCATTATGCTAAATTTCCTTTGACCAGAAGCTGGTCACTTGGAGTGCCTCTAATATGGCTGTAAGAAGGTTCTCCACTGTACACCTGGCAGGGCTCAGACCACATTTTAATAAGTGGTCTGTGTTTTACTCTTCTCCACATTCACATGTCATGGACTCCACTTGGTATCCCCTCTTCTTAAGATTGACTCTGCATCTTGTGGTCCCAGAGTGCAGTCTGTTCAGCGCCTTCCAAGCTGCCCAGTCTTCTGTGTGCCCAGGGGGAATTTCTCATCTGATTGAGATTCTGGGTTTTAACGTGCTACTTTTGGTCTCTTGCTTTCTAAGGTATTCCTACGAGTATCTCTGTAGATCTTAGGAAGCTATTTCTTGATTTAAGGCGTTGGCTTGCTGACTGATATCCGAACAGAGGATGGGCGAGAGATGTCAATGCCCTGGTCCTTTCATTACAGGTTTCTACTTCCTGATGGATGTCAGGTGGCGCAGTATCAGCTAAAGAGGATAATTTCTCCAGTGGTGTAGAGCGCAGACATCCTATGATAATGCAGCATGTCTCATTAAGAGCCACATCCATTGTTTTAACATGGTGAGATGTATTCCACACTGGGCATGTGTATTCAGCAGCAGAGTGGTCCACACTAATAATGGCATTATTCAGCTGTGCTGAAGAGATAAATAAAACTGAGGGCAGTGGAGTGCACTAGAGTCAATGGAATTGGATATTCATAGCAATTGACACAAAAAAATGGAAAATGTTCTAGAGCTCTTTGCAACACTGCTGCTGGCCATTTGCCCAAATTCAAATACAGGTTGGGAAAAGGCAAACACATATGTGGTCTCATTGGCACTTTCCATTCTTATCATCCCATTTCATTTGCCTTTCAAAATTGACATCTGTACTGTTCCTCGCAACATGTTGCCACAGCATTTCCCCAACTGCTAGAAGATAATGTATACATTTTATGCCTTTACATTACAAAACAAAAATGGAGCCTCTCCTAGGAACTCCAAAGGCAGAAGGTCATGTTTTAATAACATTCACCATCTTTGAACTCGGGCCTCTAAGGCCTTAGGAATCAGCATTCTGCCTTTGCACTGCAAAAGTTTATGTATGACCACTGTTTTGAAGATATTATAATGTATTTCCACAGGATGAATTTTCACACCACACAGGAACAGGAGAAATAGAAGTTTTTAGTGGAAAAAATGATTAGCCCATTTACAAATCAGTTCCACATATCAGTTCCTTACTCCCAGGTATGTGTAGACAAAATTATCTAAACTAAGGGTAAGCATATTCTGGCTCTAGTGCCACAAGCAGCCCCATCAAATATTGTTACCTTCAATATCTTCAGAATAACTAGGTTTATCTTGACTGATCAAAAAAGAGGCTGTTCCTGGAAGTTTTTTTTTAAAAAAAAAAAAAATTTTTCAATTGTGTTACAGAGAACCAGAAGTGATCTTCTGACCACAGTATCTTTCCGCAATTCATACAATCTCCGAATGGTCAGAGGATATCAAAGTGGCCCCCAGATTAGCTGCAATTGCCAACCCATGAATTAAAGCTACCACTTTCAATTTCAGATGGTTTCAGGAATGAAGTATCTTTAGACCTCCTATGTGAGCCAATTGGTCTTCCTGAATTAAGACTAAAAGGTAATGTGAGAGTACTCAGGAAGACTTGTTCAGAGATGTTGAAGCTTCTCTTTAGGAAGTTTCAGTAGCTTCCTTCTACTTTGAACTCACCCACACACACACACTCCAACTGCCACTGATGATTTTGCATTACTCTGTGTTAATCAGGGAGTCCAGATTTGGCACAAGCAGAAGGAATGCATTGGTCCCTAGATTCTGGACCCATTTCATGCTGATTTCCTATACAACAGCAGACTGAATTGTCAAGATGCTATTGCTGCAACATCTTGGGAACATTTTTCCTATTTCTAGGCAGGGGGTTGGACTGGATGGCCCATGAGGTCTCTTCCAACTCAAGGATTCTATGATTCAATGGCATACCTGATTTCCTGTTTTAATTCACCAGGCATGTAGGGATGAAATCATCATTTAGTAGTCTGGGATTGGAAGAATTGATAGGGTTTCTTAAATCCTGCTCCTTGTTAGATCTCCATCCTTGTTTTCAAAACACATTGAGGTCATCCCCCCCCCCCCCGCTTCTTCATCATCATCCCAGTTACTTTTTGAAACTTTTTATTTTTCTTTCTTTTCCCTACTGATTAGTTTACATTAAGTCTTTACAGTCTGCCAGACAAGCCATGATCCATTTCTTTATTACATTTATAACCTACTTTTCCTGTGTGGCACTCAAGGCCAGTTAGATAATTCTCATGCAGAAACAAACATGCCTACATTACCCTTCCAATAGTGCCGTGATGCAAGTTAGACTGACGGTCCAAGTGGTACCCAATATGTTTCATAAATGGGCCGACACTTGAGCCTGTGTTTCAGAAGGCCTAGTTCAACATGGTGACATATCTTTTCCTAAACTATGTCTTTCCAGATGTTGCCTGATACCCTTTATCAGATATGGCAAAGATGCCCAGGGGTCAATAATAATTAAGACAAAAGGGATTTGGTACATTGATTAGAGCACCATGGCCAAGAGGCAAAGGTTATCATGACCAAGGACCAAAATTTATCATGGTCAAAACATCTTGAAGGGGCCCAGGTCAAGGAAATGTGCTCCAATCATTGGATCAGTGGTTATCAACCTGTGGGTTCCCAGATATTTTGGCCTTCAACTCCTAGAAATTCTAACAGCTGGGATTTCTGGGAGTTATAGGCCAACACACCTGGGGACCTACAGGTTGAGAACCACTGCATTAGAACATTGTCTTTTTGTCTGACTTACTCTTTGGAAGGATAGTGTTATTTCTTTACTGACAGACACAAACAGTCTTAATACAACAAAGTCTGATAAAACATATAGCACTATGACAAAGCCCATGGAAAGCCATATTAGAATGACTCCACTCAAAACTGTTATCTTTAAAAGAAAAAAAGGAAAAGGAAACCCCTCTTTGGGTTCAGTAAGCAATATTTTTAAAAAAATCTATTTATTTGTATTTTTTCATAGAGGGATTTCTTCCCTAAAGGACAGATTTATAAATATAACTTATTTATGAAGATAATAGGATTTGCATTTGGTTGTGGGAAAAAAAAGCCAAATCTGTTCCAAGATGTTTTATTTCATATATGTATGAATAAAAATTATTTTGTTTGGGAAAGGCAAGCAAGGCCAGTATTACTTCTGGCATGAATATGGATAAAATTAAAGTTATCGAGTTTCAAACTAGTTGACATTTCCACAATAGCTCAGGTTTATTCTATATTTTCAACATGAAAGGACTGAAAGCCTGAAGGGACTACTGCAGTACAACAAACTCTACATTATACTAAGCAGACAAGAAATGCAATCATGGAAATTGGAACCTTCCTTTGGAAACTTATGTGATTGTAGTACTGTACACTATTAGGTTGCTAAAGTCCATTGACTTAAATAGACCTTAGGAAGCTTAGCAAAGTGCTTTAACCTGTATTTCTATGCCTGGTGACTTGAGAGTAAGTTCCACTGAGATAAATGAGACTTCAGAGTAAACATGAGCATAGAAAGAATAGTTTGTCGATAACAAAGGTTCTTAACCTGTGGGCTGTGAACCTCCTTCTTTATTTTATTTTATTATTTTATTTGTTACTGTTCCTTTTGTGCCACTCCTTCCCCATCGCTGACCATGGCACATGTACTGTATCAGAAACTAGAGCTGATGTGATCTATCCAATGCACTTTTCTGAATCAGCA